GTACATGGAAGACATAAGAAGGTGGCAAAAAATAGTGCACCTCAACCCCCTCACTCACCCCCCAGGACCCTTCCACACACACTAACACACTCAAACAAACCACCACAGACACAAGAAGGCTGAACTTGATGGACGCAAGTCTCTTTTCAGCTATGTAACTATGTAAGAGAAGACCACACTACCGGACAAAGAGGAAGACACATAACACAACCGCAACCACCCGCTAAGACGATACCCGCATGACATAACCAACCCCACACGACACAGACGCCAGGGAACAATCCGAGAGACTAAAGCGGACAAGTACGAACTGAACAAGACACAACGGCGCAACATAAACACCCCCCAAACATCCGACACGATCACATGAGGTACGAGCCGCTACAACGGCCACCCTACCAAACAAACAAAAAAACAAAACAGACACACACACTAACACAACTGTTAGAAACTTAAAACAAATGCAAGACCAAAGTAATGGAAACACCCCGATCCGAGGAACTACACAGTGACAACTCAAGGATGCAAAACTACTTGACACTTCAGACACCGTGCCACCCACTAGACCCCAGCAGAACCCACAAAAACTATGACAACAAGCAACACAATAAGACAAGACGGCAGGGGCCACAACAGGGATGGGCGGGAAAGATGCCAAATAAGAGACAGCAACCCAGATGCCCAAAACGCAACAAGTACTACAAACACACACATCTATACAATGATCAACCACACACAGTCTTAAGAACGATTCAAACGCAATGAACGTGGGCTGACCCCCCCCCCATAGATGCGTCAAGAAGCGCTGCAACACGCGACGAGACCCAAAACATGCACCAGAATGTGCACCACAATCACCGAACAACACACACACACACAGGCAAAACCACACACAACACGCTAAATATGTCAGATGATAAAGCCGCAAATGATATGATCAAACCGCCTCTGCGTAGGCAACTAAATGTTATGTTTGATGCAAGGAGAAACGCCTCTGCGAAGGCCACTAAATGTTATGGTAAAGTACAATTGTAAACCAAGCCTCTGACATGAAACCATTAAAGATATTTAAAACAAAAAATAGTGCAGATGGTAATAGACTCTGTGGGTTACAACTTGAAAGATGAAATTAAAGTTGCTCACCTGATTCTGGAGCCTATAAGTGACTGGCTCCAAGTTTGTGCACTTACTTGCCAATATCAGGAGTGGCAAGGAACCCCCTTTAAATCAGCATGGAACAGATGGTCCAAGAGGATAATGGATTTATCAAAAAACTTTTATTACAGAAAATAAAAAATACTCCAACATGGAGATAAAAACAAATAATAAAATATATAAAAATATACAAATAAGAGGACTTATTTTATATATTTTTATATTTGATATACCTTGTGTGGAATTATTTGTTTTATATATATAGTCCATGAAGCATGGGAAACCATCCTAGGTTTGGAACATAGTTCTCTATATATTCAATGGTGCCCTTACTTAAGAAAGTCACTGCCAATCACATGGTAAATAAGCTATCATATTAAATCATCCTAAAACTGTATTAAATAGGCATACATATCACATAATACTTTAGAATAGAAAATTCATATCTATATATCGCATGGCTAAATCTATGTTTAATTTAGATATTGAACCTAAAAAGGAGAGAAATAATCAATGTCTGGAAAGGCAAAAACAGCAGAGAGAAGGGAAAACATTTTTTTTCCCATTACTAAAAACATAAATTTCTCCAGATTTAAGACATAAAAATTAAAATTAATTAATTTAAAGGAAGTGCTTTTTATATTATTTTTTATAACATGGTATAGGATATACCTCTGGAGTATATACGACCTATATATATTTTTTATGTTTTAAATCTGGGGAACTTTATACGTTTTTAGTAATGGAAAAAAAAAATGTTTCCCCTTTCTTCTCTCTGCTGTTTATATCATTTCCAGACATTGATTATTTCTCTCCTTTTTAGGTTCAATATCTAAATTATAAATAGATTTAGCCATGAGATATATAGATATGAATTTTCTATTTTTAAAGTATTATGTGATATGTATGTCTATTTAATACAGTTTTATGTTGATTTAATATGATGACTTATTTACCATGTGATTGGCAGTGACTTTCTTAAGTAAGGGCACCATTGAATATTTAGAGAACAGTGTCCCAAACCTAAGATGGTTTCCCATGCTTCACACAGCTTCATGGACTATATAGAACCCGGAAGGATGCATGACGTAAGGAAGCGTGTGCGTCGTTGCGCATGCACAGTGATGTCATACATAACACGCAAGACTAAAGGTTATAAATCCAGCATAGAAACGGAATCCAGAAGTGACCGGGAGTGTTCAGAAGAACGGCGCCAAATGTAATTACCTAATAGGATAGTACCCTATATAAATGGATAGGGTGAAGGACGAATTATGCACCTTGAGGAAGACTTATACGGTTGAAACGCGTTGTGCTTTTATCCTGGACTTTTTATCTACTATTAGTTGCTGCTATTTCCCGTATTTTGCAGCTTTTGTCCGAAGTAAATTGATTCAGATAATACTTCAAGTCTCCCTAATTTAATCTGTGGAGGAATAAGCTACAGGATCAAAATCACATCTCAGCAGCCTTATTCGTTGTCAAGCCAACAGAACCAGAGCCTGTAGGTGGCTCTGGGAAGTGTGAGTGCCCATTACCTATGTGTTTTATTCTGTGTGTGTATGTATCTGACACACAGATACACACCTTGACACACAGCGTGTATCTGTGTTTGTATGTGCCGGTGTGTATATGTATCTGGCACACACATACAAACACAGATACACGCTGTGTGTCAAAGTGTATGTGCCAGTGTGTGTATATATCGGACACAGATACACACACCTTGACACACAGTGTGTATCTGTGTGTGTATGGATCTGTAACACAGATACATATACACTGGCACACAGATACAAAAACTGGCACATACACACATATGTTTAACTTAACTTTTTTCTTCCTACAGTGCTGCAGGCTGCTGGCTGAGGATGGTGTGCCAGGTCGGAAGCTACTAACTCCCCTCTGCGCTTCCTCTCCCTCCAGCTGGCGTGCTCTGTCTGGGAGGAAGTGCTGTCATTTCTTCCCAGCATCCCATACAACAGGGGTCCGGTCGTGGTCTTCAACGCCCGCAGCACCTGGACGGACCCTTTTTAGTGATACCTGTAACACTAATTGGGAAGCGCTGTCCTAGACCATTGAGATAGAACATCTAGCTTGCCTTATGTTACCTACCCTTGCTCTAACCTATCTTCTGTGGATATTATTGTGTTAACTATTTTTACTAGGCTATGGCTACTTCTAGTTGTAGAATAGTGAAAACATACACTTCACGGCAACTGTGTGGGTGCCTGGTATGTCCATTTAAGTTTAATTAGATGAGGAAAATATTTAGAGGAGTGCAAAGATATACCGTATTTACTTGAATCAAATGTGCACCTCAATTTTTGAAACCTGGAAGCTGAAGAATGTTTTTCCTGGCAAATGTTATGCACATTTATATAAGAAGATATGACTATACAACATTGTGCTACAATGAAAATGTTTATTGCCATATACCATAGTAACATTGATGGCATTTAATTTTAGTGTTACATATTAAGTCTATTCTTTTTTTAAAGCTCTCTTTCAGGAACCAAACTTTGCTTCTTTCTTTGGGGATTGCAGAGATATGCATTTGTAAAAACCCTGGTCATTAAACGGTCTTCAAGTGGGGCACTGTGCAAGTCCTATGAATCCAGTCCATCCTCATCTTCCTAGTACGAGCATATACTACAGGGACGTATTAGCCGCAAGGCTAACAAGGCATTTCATCCGGTTCCCGGCATCACTCGGCGGCGCGCGAGGGAGCTGAGCAGACAGCTCAGAGGAAGTGCTCCCTCGCCAGCGCCACCCGCCCAGCAGCCACTGGACCTCAGGGAGAAAGACAACCCCCCAGCATTTCATAAAGGTAAGGAGGCTGAGGGGGTTAAATAAAAAGATGTTTTAATGTGAGTGTGTGTTAGTGTGTGTGTGTGTCTGTTAGTGTGTGTGAGTTTCTGTTAGTGAGTGTGAGTGTCTGTTAGTGAGTGTGTGTGTCTGTTAATGAGTGTGTGTGTGTGTGTCTGTTAGTGGGAGTGTGTTTGCCTGTGAGTGTGTGTGTTTCTGTTAGCTAGTGTATGCGTATCGGTCAGTGGATGTGTGTGTGTATTTAGAAGATGGGGCGGGGGGGAAGGGTTGGGTGGGAGTGGCGGGGGCGCCTGAGGTTTGTCCTGCCTAGGGCAGCACAAAACCAGGATACACCACTGATATACTAGGATCAATTCTGCAAGGATAGCCTGAAGTCTCTCGCATAGAAAGCTATACAAGCCTTTATAAGTTAAATAGGACTTCAGTTTTGTACATAATCATGGAAGAGCTATTACCAGGTGGAAGAAAATCTTTCCTGCGATATGATACACGGTGGAGGGTTAACACCCAGTAGCTGTAATGAAGTATGTGAAGAAAAGATCAGGGACTTCATGTACCATAACCTATGCAAGGAACAATACGTAGTTATGGGGCTTTGAGTTTCCCCCACAAAATATAAATATATATTTATTTTTTTACTAAAGAAGCAAAATTTAGTTTTGCGAAGTCAAACATTTAGGTTTTAATTTTACATATTTACAGCCTAGGAAGACATTATGCCTGGAGAACTTCCCCATGGATTTTGAACTCCCAGGGTTACTCACTAAACAAGCAATTGGCTATGACTAGGGAATCAAATCCTAAATCAGAATACCCACATTGGTAACATTCTCCTACTTTGCTATGTCAATTCTGGGCTACAAAAAGAGATGTCATGGTCATTTCAGTGGGTAACCCTGTATTTAGTGAATAACCCTGTATATTCACGTGTCTATCCATAGAGCCGATTACTTTCTGGATATTCTGAAGTCACCAACAGATTCATGAAATGCTAACCAAGCTAGAAAGAAAGAAGACACGTTTGGTTTTTCAGAAGTACACTTTATTAGAAAGTGTCATTTCATTCACTCATTGTCATATGAACCCCAGCCATAGGTCACAATTGATCCATTTTATTTGACCCTGAGCTAATTTTAGCTCTGTAGATGCCATTTGTTTGGACTTGCAGTAAGGCACTGCAGGAAACAGGTTACCGTCAATCACTGATCAACCATCTCCTACTGTGGTGGAATTCCATTTGGTAACCTTGATCCTGAAGCAAGCTGTGTCCCAGACATTAGAAGGGACAGTGAAATGTTCATGACATGTTTAATGTTTTAACTCCCGGAAGTGTGCTCAATGCATTTTCATGCAAAATGTCCACACTGGCACATGGAAAGGTTTAAACTATCCACAACTTCCAATTTCTAAAACTTAATAAACACAATAATAATTTCAAGTTTGGGCATATATTTTTTTGTCACCCACTAGAAACAATCACGCTACACTGTGTAATTAAACCAAGTATGTTTTCATGGTTACACCAGCCTCAATCCTAAACATTCCCGCTTACATTCCACTGCACGTGCGTTGCAGTTTTCTAACACATCTGTAACAAATTTTCATAAACATTTAGTAATAATGCATTTCTCCAGCTGTTAATCCCTCATTACCCACTGGTTTACGGAGTTCAATAGGAACTGAAGTCCTACAGGTCAAAGAACCTTGGATGTGTCTACCACAATTTAAGGGACCTCTTTTCCAAATATCTCAAAAACCCTCTGAGTCTTTAAACAACAGTGCCTTCTGTTGGGGTTCAGGAAGGCAGAATGACAAAACACTACATGTAGATTTTATATATTTAGGTCATAACTCAGTCAGTGTTTTGTTCCTTTAATGATCTCCTTAGGAGAAACAAACAAGACTCAGTTTTAGGAAGAAATGATAAAATTATGAAACTCTGCTTCAGTAAATATTTTCCGGATGTAAGTTGGCTGGCTAAGATGTTTTTGAGTTTTCAATTAGAATGTAAAAAAAGGTTTTATAAACAGAATAAAAAGAGTATAATCAGCAGAAGACCTCCTGTGTTTAGAGGTCCATATTAAATGACAATCATTTGTGGGTCTTCAGAGCTTTCTGAGGGAGGCAGATCTAATTTTTAAATGGACTAAAGTTTCAGAAGACCAAACAGTGAATCCCTTTACTCTTCCTTCCTGCATTTAAAGGGGTAAAACAAGCATGGAGTGTATTCAACAAGTGAAAGGGTAACAGCAAAAGCAGCATATTTAACATCTTATCTGCTGGAGAGTCCTGAACCTCATTGAACAACAACATGTTTCAGAACTTTTTGTACAAATAAGAGCGCTAAAATAAAAACAACAGAGCAGTCATTCCAAGGCAAATTAATATTTTTTGCAACCTTTAGAATGCATCAGGACTGTGCAAATGGCATATTCCCTTATGCACTCAAAGATTTGGAGGACCAATTAACCAGTTAGATAAATAAAACAATTCATCCTATATACATTAAAAAGTAAAACAGCATATTAAAGTGTATATAAAATAAAAATATTTTTCAAAAAGTGACAAGCGATTCATCTTTTGCAGATTTTAAAAAGGGAAATAAATGAAAAAAAAATACAAAAACCAACACAAAACTAAACAAAATAAAACTAACACACCATAATGAATAATCTAAAACCTCAGTTGGAGCACTTTGAAGATACATTATTACATCACAAAAAAACAAACAAAAAAAACTGCTTTGGTTCATTTTCCGAATAACAGGAAGCAAGAGGATTGTTGTGAGAGCTGTTCATGGACTATGAGCCAGCAAGTGTTAATACTGAATACATTATTAATCTTTCTGATAGAACAGAGGGCCACTCAGCTACAGGTTCCAAGTCCTGCTACAAAAGTAACACCCCTTATGCCAGTGAGCTGGCTAACTGTACAGTGCCTCTTCCACCACTGTTGCGCCTAAAAAGGTTTTCACACATTAAAAAGTGGGTTGCGTTAAGCAGAGAATAGATTTGCAAAATGTGGGACAAACCAGTGAAGTTTGAAATAAATTTCCAACCAATCGGTTTAAAAAGTTGGCTGTCGATTCACATTCCCAATTGTGTCACCTAAGAATGCATTAATATGGCTAATCGTGCCCAGAAAAATACAGTTTTTGATATCCATCTTTATATTCCTTAAATTTTGCTAAATTCTCTGTTCTGTTACTTGAATAATAAAAAGCACTGTGCTTTCAAACTTGTTAAAAAGTCATCTGTCCACAAAACTACAAGTATACCTATTCAGAATGAATATAAACCATTCGAGAAGAGACTCAACTTGACAGACACTTATGTTTAGAACAAGTTTGAGCTAAACTATATAGTCCAATTCTCTGTTATATTACAGAAAAAGAAGATACATTCTAGGATAAACAGGAGATAAACCTTATTTAAAAAAAAAAAAAAAAGTGTACATTGGACTATTTAATTTATTTAATTAAGAGATGCTGAATTCACTCCTACAGCGTTTGGTACCAACTAACAATATGACTCATGTAAAAGTAGTAACGTAACAGTAAAAATACTGTTTTATAGACTTAAGATGCATATTTTTATAGGCACGCTGTTTTAGGAACTCATGTTTGAGGACATCTAAGCGTGTTCTAACATACTGACAGATATGCAACACTCCGTTACACACCTTGGGGAAAAATAATTTGTTGAATAGTTTTTGTTTACCCCATAATTTGCCTGTTATTACTATAGTATATTACATTACTATACCCAAGTTGGCTGCAATATTCCCCAAATTGAACAATCCAGCTCGGGCACAGAAGAGCCCATATTATTTTCATCCTGTATTTACCTGTAGAGGAGTTTTACTTTTAGGAGTACCACAGATGTTAATTCTCTATAGTATGCATCATTGTCAGCTGACAACTGAGCAGCAAACATGACAACTGAGGGCAGGTGGGAGGGGAGAGGAAATTTCCAGGATAACAGAGTTGGATACTTAAATGGACTCTTTGGACCCCTAAAGCACTATAGCTTGCTGAAAGGCTTTATGTGTATAGAGTGTCCCCTCTTTTTTTAGGTTATCAAAAAATGTTATATTTCAATACAAATGGATACTTTTATAAATTACACAGCCCCGCTGGCTGTCAGATAACAGGTCCTCTTACTTCCTAGTTGTTTAGCTTGAGTTTAATGGAGCTAAACTCAAGAGGCAGACTATTGTCCAAAGTATCTGCCTTGCAAAAATTGTTCACTGAGCTGCATTAGGAAGTCAGATTAGGCAGTCACAGAACGTGTGGGCGGGGTAAAAAGGGGAGGGATTGCAAAGGCTGCAGACAAGAGATCTGTAGCTTTTGCAAGCTGTTTTTAAATATACCCCTAATGAGAAAATGAATGCTTTCATTTGTGGTATATCTGCTAAACAGTGTTTTCTTTATTTGGGCAGTGGAGTGTCCCTTTAATTCTAAACTGGCTGCTCTGCACAACATTTTGCAAGTCAATTCTTACATAGGAAAAAACTAAAAAAAAAAAAAAAAAAATGTTTATTCATGAAATGTTATCACTTCATTTCCATCAAAACCAGAATTAGGGAAAAAACTCTACACAGTAGCATTTTTTTTTTTTTGCAAATATCCAGGTTGTATGCTGCACTCAAGCACACTGGATTATAATCTAAAAATGGAATAAAAATGCATTAAATTTTATATTTCAGGACCAAGATGCAAAGGACACTGTCAATGAAGGTGCATTGCACTTCCATATATATTTTTTTTTATCATGAATTTAAAAGAAGGTATTTGAATAGAAAGTAACATTATTCTACAGGCTCTATATTTCCTTGAATTTTGTGAAATCTACGAATGACCAGTTCATAAAAACAAAATAAAAATAAAAATGGAGAAGTGTACACCAATAAGGTTTAAAACAAACTGGCATTCTAGATGTTTTGGGGCTGTGTCTTAAACTAATCACAACATATTTTCACATTATTAATTAATTCATATTTGGTACTGGGGATCACAGACTGATGAATGTTGTCCGTGGAACTGTAACCTTTGGACTGTCATGTGCTATACAAAGCAGAGCCAGGAGATGTATAGAACTGAATCATACTATAGTGTGCACTCCCTTGTGGTTTAGAAAATTGTACTAAAATAATAATGGAAACAAGCCAACGTGTTCCATTTGGTTACATTGTGACAAACATGTTAGTTTAAAAGCACTGCTTGGTCTTTGAATTAGAGTTTTAGAGGTCCACAAAGGACTATACTTGTATGTGCGTTTTAAAATTGGAAGAAGACTCATTAACAGTTCTTGGGCATATGTATGTTTGTAACTTGGAAATATAAGGCTGGACAGGACTCTCGGATCCGCTTTTTTATGCTAAAAAAAATAAAAAATTAAAATTAAGCCCTGCGCTAGCCCTCCCACTACTCCTGGGTGGCAATGACTATAGTATACATCAGCCCCAATACATATATGCCAAAGGAAAAAAAAAGTTACTTGCATACTATCCCAAATCGCTATACACATTCAAGTAACTGGAGGTTTTTAGTCTCACTCCAATGGCCATTCAAGGCTAGGACTCACCTAAAAGGTTTTGCCTTGAGGTGGCAGGTGAGCTCACACTAACAATTCACCTTGCTTCTTTAAGCTGAAAAGTAAAATCTCTAGTGAGACAGAGAGGGGAATTTTCCTAAACAAATGTTCGTGTAGGACTCACCTTAAAGGTTTTGCCTTGATGTGGCAGAAGAGCTTACTCTAATGGTCATTGGAGTGATACTAAACATCCCCCAGTTATTTAAATGTGCATAGATGTGATTTTAGGATAATGCGCAAGTAACGTTTTCTTTGGTTTTAAGAAAATAAAAACAAAAGAAAAACCCACAACAGACCAGATTTTTTCCCACTATTGGTAGTTCCGGTGATGTTCTGTGGCACAGTATTCAGATAAACAAAACAGAAAAAATGAATTCAAAATTAAATAAACATTTAAGTGTCCACCACAAGGGGGGTATCTTTCCATGTAAACAATATCTGATGATTTGCATTATTTAATTTTATAATTATGATGTCCAGCAGATGACAGCAACATCAGGAACAGGTCACTGGTATTGTAAATAGTTCTTCAATGACTGAGGCAAAGGTAAGGATTCAATTTGGTGCAAACGATCTCTGCCAATGGCGAAACGAACAGATCTCCGGCATAAGTCCATTAAAGGCAGTGGCTCAGCTGAAACAAAAAAAGACATAAGAAACCAGTTTTAGTTCCATAATAAAAATACTAGTTTTGAATAAATTACAAAATGTTTACGGTTGTACAAAGATATGAGCTGATGACATTTTTTGGGACCCCTTTGTAATCAAAGTATATATGCTTTTCTATGATATTACAATGGAGCGATAATTTTCACTGTACTAGTTAAAGAAACTATAGTTACTTGTTTGGTGCATGAATCATTTTTATTGATAATTTAAACTACAATGTTAACACAGGATTCAATTGATTATCTAGGAATAGTCAACCATCATCTGTCATATTTTATTAATATTTATTAATTGGTGAAGTCATCTGGTTTCCAAGTTTTATTCAATCAAGTATGGCTATTTAGTAACCACATTTTGCTTTGGAATTATCATTCAATGTGTGAAGCTTTAAATGACCACTATAGTATCAGGAAAACAAACTCGTTTTCCTGACACTAAATAAGGCTTAGGGATAATGCTCAGGAAAACAGCCACTAGAGGCTGGATGCTAGGTTTACATCTGAAGGGTTAAAACCTGGGGGACCTGGCACCCAGATCACTTCATTGAGTTGTAGTGGTCTGGGTTACTAAAGTGTTCCTTTAATGTACATTACCCAGAGGAATATTAGTAAACGAATGATTAAACAGGCATGCGCATCAAAGTAGTGAGAATAAAATCACCTATAGATGAGGGGCTTGGTTTTATTCTAAAATTTATGCAAAAGATCTAACAAATTATATCACAACACAGTTCAGACAAGACAAAGCAAGGGAAACCATTGCAAATGAAGTGCATCTGGTAGTCAGCATTTATAAATCATACAGCGAGAAGGACAGAGCTTATAAGAATGATTGACAGGGAGCCAAGATGGAGGTGCCCAGTTGCAGGATAATGAGGTGTGATTTCTACATTCTCCTTTTTTCCCCACCCCAAAAATACAGGTTTATTAAGTATAAAAGTCTAGGCAAGTACAAAATGGTGATCAAAGGATAGTTTTATAAGGTAAATTAAAAGCGCACAAAACAAAATAAAACGGTAAATTCCATGTAAGTAGTTACTTTCACACTTGTTATCCTACCTAGACTCTTGGATTTTATGGTTGGAAAATTCTGCGCTCAGTCATGTTGGAGGTGAATTTATGAAAAGAGAACAACTATATCTTTTCAATATGTTTAACCTCCTTTTTTGTTCTATGAGACTTTCAGCAAACCTCAATCAATGCTAGACGGAGGACTGCGCAAGTCTCAACTCTTTCAGTTTACGGACTCTAGCAAAGCCATTTCAGAGTTCTCATTTATTAGATCCGGTGCAGTAAGTCTGTATCTCAATTTCTCAGGTTGTAGCACAGTTAAGTAGCTACAGTTTAAATGACCACAAAGTCACCCATACCACCTCACATCACTGCAGAAAAGGCAACGTTTACCTAGAAGGATTAAACATGAGAAGCATTGTATGTGGAGCTTACCATGCATGTGCATCGGTTACAAAATTTGGATTGGACCATGACCGGAACAAGCTATGCCTCTTTGATAATGCTGGGGGAGGTGGAGAGACCAGTAGCGCCAAAAGAGTGCATGTAAAAACCTTTGCTTTTAATATTTTTATTGAAAACAGGGGGGGGCATAAACTAGGTTTTGTAATCCCAATGCTACAGCGTTCCTTTAATTAGTTCTAACACAACATTTTTAATTGATCTAATGTAACTATTCCGTACCTAGAATTCACTAGTTCTTGTACGGTTAATTTACAATTACAATTTACGGTCATTATTTTATTTATTGCTGTGTAGTCATTCAGTATCTAGAACTGCCATCAGCAATTCACTGGCAATTGTATAATCATTCAGTATTCATATTTTATGGTTTTAGATACAGACTCTCCCAAAAAAAATTTCTTATTGACATGGCTCATGTGTACATTGCACCGTGGCACTCCGTGAGTTACAGCCTATTTCGATTCATTTCAGAATTCTATTTTTGCAATTTTACACATTTTGAAAGGCACACAAGGTTTGAAGAAGTAAACATTAATACAAGTAGGGAGCAAGATATTACCTCTCATTTTTATACTTTGGAATTCAACATTAATTATTCCCTTGCTATAAATGAGGACCAAGAGTAGGTGTGAATGCACGTGAGTATTTTAAGATTATTTACAGATCCTGCTGGTGAGTACAATGGGTACATAAATCAAACATTCTTACACACACACATTAAATGAAAGACAAGAAGGGCGCTCATTAAATTGTGTACAATGTTGATAGGCATTTAATACATGTTTTATATTATCATTCAGTAAAATATCCTTCAATGGAGGCTTCTTGTACAAGTATGAAAACTGTTAACTGTTAAACTGTCTAGCCTAAAGAATTTCAACATTTTCAGCCACTGGAGGCAGAACACTCAGTACTAATGTCTGCATTATCCTGTCTTCACCAATCGTGCTCCCAACATTTTGAACAGACAAAGGACACTTTAATTTAGGGGTGTGAGCGGAAGGGGAGGTGGCCATGGCTGTTCTGAAAAAGTTTAGGTGACTAGGTTTTAGTTTCATAAATTATTAATTTAGAATAAGAACAATGTATCATATTTAAATTACAATAAATGAGTGTGGAAATCAGTCTGTATAAAGAAGCATTGACATGAGTATTATTGCAGTAGAGTTCTGTGATACATATAATATACAAAGTACGGAGAGAATACTTAAATATAAATATATACAATTAATTGGGTGCTATTCCATAACGGTACTCCCTCAAATACCAAAAATGACCAATAATAAATAAACAAAGAATGCACACCATAAGACCATAAAAAGTCTATCTGTATTTATTACATCACAAGTACAAATACAATACTAGTACAGCAATAAGTGACTCACTAGGCAAATAATAAACAGAAATCAATATTCACCACATTCCACAAGCTTAACCTTTCTCAAGGCTACCAGGAGGAGCCAAAACGTTGGTTTTTTTTATTTGACTCGTGTTTCTGCCCGGTTAGGCTTGTGGAATGTGGTGAATATTGATTTCTGTTTATTATTTGCCTAGTGAGTCACTTATTGCTGTACTAGTATTGTATTTGTACTTGTGATGTAATAAATAGATAGCGACTTTTTTCTTATGGTGTGCATTCTTTGTTTATTTATTATGAGTTCTGTGATACACTTAGACAAACCAACAATATGGAGTTCCTAGAAAAGAGGAACATTAGGATAGAAAAGAACAGAGATTTGGGCCCAAAATAGGGAATGCCCCTCCTAAATACTTGGGAGTCACAAACCATTATACACAAACCAGACAATATTGTCAATTTTTGTTCTACCAAAATAAATAAATCAGGCCATTTGATGCAAATTACCCTCTAAACACCTTGGATTTGGTTGTCATGCACCATTTGCAGTGGATTACCTGCAGTAGTGGACAGATGAACATATGAAGTTCTCAACTGGTTCCTCCAATTATGTAGTTTATGCTTTTTTTTAATGTTTTTTTTTCACACTTTTGTCAAACATATTACCTCAGAAAACAGTGTTAAATGAAAAATGTAAAAACAAAACCCAAAACAAACACCCAAAAATATATCAAAGATTATGTTCACCTATTCAGAATCATTATTTCATTATAAATATTCACTCCTTCTCTCATGGTACATATTTAAGTGGGCGGAATGCCAGCATAAAATTCTGCTTTAAGGTCAAATCTCCAATCTCAAATAACGTCTTGAAAAGCATTGCCAAGTAAGTGTGGCAGCGAGCATTAAAGTATTTGGAATTGGCTCCTTCGGGCTCTTGTGTTCTGGACTCAACATGCCGCAGACAGTGCAGCAAGATGTGGAATTTTTTTTTCTCTTTCTCCACAGGAAACCATAGGTTTCCTCATAGGCTATGAAAACACAAGTCATACAGATTTTTACAGTAACATACTGTATAAAGCTCAAATATTTTCCAACGTCTGCCCTACCAGCTTAAGAAACAGCTCCAATGCAAAGCTTCTGGATTAATTAACTCCTTTGATACGGCCGACATTTAGCTAAAAGTGGTTGTTAAACCAAGTACTTCAAGGGTAAATGTATCACTCTATTATATTCTATCTGGTTCCTTTTAGAATGTTAGGTGGGTTAATTCACTAAACAGAATTGTAGTAGGCTAACAAATATATCAAAATTTAATCTAAAAATATTTAGACTGGATAAATCATCAATGGACATTTTGTTTTCCTGCATGGCTTTAGGAATTGAGTGCATACTGAATTTGTTTAGACCACGGGTGCACAAAAGGTAGATCCCCAGATGTTTTAAAACAACTTGAATGATTCTTTCTCATTCGAAAGGCATAAAAAGCATCATGGGACTTGTAGTTCTAAAACATCTAGGGGATCTACCTTTTGGGCACCCCTGGTTTAGACAAAACACCATATGTAAATGACATGAAACGAATGTGGCATTCACTTGTGGTGTGTTACATGAATATTGAGTCAAATTCACCAAATGTATGTAGACAAGCAGATTAAAGGACCACTATAGTGCCAGGAAAACATACTCGTTTTCCTGGCACTATAGTGCCCTGAGGGTGCCCCCACCCTCAGGGTCCCTCTCCCGCCGGGCTCTAGGGGGTGGAAGGGGTTAAACTTACCTCTTTCTCCAGCGCCGGGTGGGGAGCTCTCCTCCTCCTCCTCTCCTTCCGTCACCGGCTGTATGCGCATGTGCGGCAAGAGCCGCGTGCTCATTCAGCAAGTCCATAGGAAAGCATGATCAATGCTTTCCTATGGACGCTGGCGTCTTCTCACTGTGAAAATCACAGTGAGAAGCGCGGAAGCGCCTCTAGCGGCTGTCAATGAGACAGCCACTAGAAGCTGGATTAACCCATAGGTAAACATAGCAGTTTCTCTGAAACTGCTATGTTTACAGAAAAAAAGGGTTAAACCTAGCTGGACCAGGCACCCAGACCACTTCATTAAGCTGAAGTGGTCTGGGTGCCTATAGTGGTCCTTTAACCCCTTAAGGACCAAACTTCTGGAATAAAAGGGAATCATGACATGTCACACATGTCATGTGTCCTTTAGGGGTTAAGCTTCTGGGAGTCAGTCCAGCCAAGTGGGCTAGTAAACACCTTATAACAAGATCAAGTCACATCGCCAAGCCTTACTCAGCACACAAACACTAGTTGAAAGACTGTACAGTGTGGAATAGAAAACTCAGAGGAACGCACAAAATCAGTTCCACCATTATAAAAAAAATTTTTTAAAGATCTTGGAGCACCCATATCCTGGTTTGAATTAAACTTCTTACACAAAAGCGTTCACGTGTAAGGATACATCAGTGACAACATCTGGCAAACTAGGATGCCAGATGTTGCAGAGTGAAGATGGAGGATCTGTTGGGGACATTTCCAGCATTTAGTTTAAATACATGTTTTAATTATGTGTGCAGATGTCACCAGAGCCTTTTACCTGGCCTGGCCCTTCCGTGCAGTCCACATAGCAGAAGGGTACATCCACCAAGAAAATAAAAATAGATATGAAAAAAAAAAAAATTAAACAAAATCCTGGCATTCCGGAACAGCCTACATGCACATCCAGCAGGTAGATTTCCAACTGGATGCCGATATGCAGATCCTCAAGCAGTATATGTGTGAATGCATGGGTTAAAGGGACACTATAGTCACCTGAACAACTTTAGCTTAATGAAGCAGTTTTGGTATTTTGAACATGCCCCTACAGCCTCACTGCTCAATCCTCTGCCATTTAGGAGTTAAATCCCTTTGTTTATGAACCCTAGTCACACCTCCCTGCATGTGACTTGCACAGCCTTCCATAAACACTTCCTGTAAAGAGAGCCCTATTTAGGCTTTCTTTATTGCAAGTTCTGTTTAATTAAGATTGTCTTATCCCCTGCTATGTTAATAGCTTGCTAGACCCAGCAAGAGTCTCCTGTATGTGATTAAAGTTGAATTTACAGAGAAAGAGATACAGTTATTTAAGGTAAATCTGTTTGAAAGTGAAACTAGTTTTTTATTTCATGCAGGCTCTGTCAATCATAGCCAGGGGAGGTGTGGCTAGGGCTGCATAAACAGAAACAAAGTGATTTAACTCCTAAATGACAGTGAATTGAGCAGTGAAATTGCAGGGGAATGATCTATACAGTAAAACTGCTTTATTTAGCTAAAGTAATTTAGGTGACTATAGTGTTCCTTTAAGGAGAGTGTGTGAATGTTTGCTGAATGTATAAATTTGTGGCATGAAGTTTGAATATGTATGAAGAGAGCTCAGTGTGTCCATTGCCAGATTTTCCCTGCAGGTGAGCATATGTTGAGAGTGTGCGGACTAGCAGCCACTGCGAGAAAGTAAAAAGCAATGCGAGAAATGTAGAAAGTCTTTAAGAAAATAGGTATAGTACTAAAGGTTTGTGATATGATTTAAATGCATTGGTCAGTGTCCAACACGTTTAAATTTTATAGAAAATAAAATATAGGATATCCATGGAAAACCTTACAACAGTCTTCCAGTATTACGATGCACGTTTAAGGAGGGATATTCTCTAAAGTCTGAATACAGTCCAGATCAGAAACATTTTGTTAAAATAACCACATTACAACTGAATTTGGTATTCTCATAAATGGCAAGTACCAATCTGGCTATGATGAGGTCATCTCATCCAGCACCATCTGGTGTCTCTAAAATCAGGACGTCTCCCATGAGAATCTCATATAAAAACTAGTGGATCCACATCAAGGATCTTTTAAATAAATCTGGTAGAAGGCAAATTCACAAAATAAATCTACCTGCTGTTTGCTGGTGAAACAACAGAAAGCTTTAATATTTGCCCACTGTAAGGGGCATCTAAAACGGATTGGCTAGTAAGCAAAGTATTAACATTATGAATGTAAAAAAACAAAAATTACAACTTTTTAATATAAATATATTTTAATAGACATACACACACACACGTAATAAAAATATATTTGAATTCTTGGGGTACAATATACCCCTCCATGGAGTTAATCCTTTAGCCCACGGTTTCCCAAACTGAGTCGCCGGCTGATTTTTGGTAGGTCGCGCTGACACATGCCGGTGACTTGTGAGACCGTCAGGCCCTCACCCGACACCAAGAGTGGGCCCAGCGGCTTGCAAATAGCACCCTCTGGTCTGCAGGTCCGACTCCACCGGGGGCAGAGCTGTAGACCATGCAGTGTCAGTGAGCTCGGCCAATCACAGAGCGTTACCGCGGTATCGCTCTGAGACTTCACGTGCCAGAGCTCGTGAGACTATTTCTACATGGTCTGCAGCCAGCGAAAGCGGAGCTGCAAACAGGACAGTAAGAGCCACCGGACCCCCAGGGAGAAAGGAGGGAAGGAGAAAAGACCACTGGATCACAAGGGACCTTTCAAGAAAGTATTTTAAAAGCTTTCACCCTCACCTCCCACATACTGTCACCCTCACCTCCACCCCACTGTCACCCTCACCCCCCATCACCACACACTCACCCTCACCTCTAATAAGGTGACAAGGTTAGACCTCTAAAACAGATTGCCTTGATTGCCAATTTTATGCCTCTAAAACAGATTGCCGTGGCGTGACAATTTGACCCATCTAGAGCGGATTGACATGGTGTGCCAAATATATGCCTCTAAAGCGGATTGCCTGCCATGGTGTGCCAATTGTATGCCTCTAAAACTGACATTATATGCCAATTTTATGCATCTAAAACTGGTTGCCATGGTGTGCCAAATGTATGCCTCTAAAGCCGATTGCCATGGTTTGCCAATTTTATGCATCTAAAGCTGCCAGGATATGGCAATTTTATGCATCTAAAAAAATTATTGCCATGGTGTGCCAATGTTATGCCTCTAAAACTGATTGCCACGATGTGCCAACGTTATGCATCTAAAACGGATTGGCATGGTGTCAATTTATGCCTCTAAAGCCGATTGCCATGATGTGCCAATTTTTGGGCTGTATTAAAATAAAAGCAACTGGGTCTTGAAAAATTATCGTTTTCAAAAGTGTGTCTCAGCCTGTTAAAGTTTGGGAAGTCCAGCTGTAGCCTTCTGAGTTGCTATCAAAATAAAGCAATTTGTAGTTTTCTAGTTTTTTGGTGATATTTTATATCTTTATTCTATTGATTCACATTTGTTTGTTACTGGTAGACAGAATTGTTTACACGGTGTTGGTGTTTTTAACAGTTCCAGGGTTTACCAGAAGTACTGCCTCACTAGTTCATTCTATAGCAAATTTAAAGTTATTCAGGTGTTAGTGTACAAGCTGTACACTACAGAGCATGTATCTTTTGAAGTCTATCCTCTCTCTCTCCCCCCCCCCCGCCTCCCCCTTTCCTCTAATTAATTATATTAAAACTAGAGAATTTGGTCCTACTGAACTATATAAATTTATGTTTGCCACTCATTTAAATTTTATTTTTGCTTTTTAACAAATCAGTTGAATATTTCTGTGATTCTATGCGGTTTATGATTTCAGCAGTTCAGTTTTTATCTAGACATGCTGAAGCCTGGTTTACATTTTATCTAATTCAGAGGATATATTGCAAAATCCAGACGCTGAAAAATCTTCAGAACAATATCTGAACTGTTCTCTCCAGATACTCTGGCACCATTATTTTTTATTTAGGATAATCTTGAGGGTATAAGAGTAGTTGAAATAGCATTAACATGTTAATACAGGAATTATGGATAGAGAACCTACAGAAGTTAGAGCAAACAAAATACCCAGAAAAAGTGTCAAATGAAAAGGATTAACCAGACACCATAAACCAGGGGTAGCCAAAAATGAGATTCAACATGTATATAAGCTACAAATCCCATTTAGCTTCACTAAAGTAACTCCCTGGACTGAAAGGAAGGGAGGGCATGACTGCTGGTCAGCAGTAAAGGGGGTGACCATAGGCATACTATGTTGCAAAAGGGGATAAAAGGGCAGAGCAGAGGAGGGGACTCACCAGTAAGCCAGAAAAAGAGGGTTGGACATTATGCGCAACCTCACCTTCATACGAACAGTTACACTCCTGGCAATCAGTCTAAAACAGCATACAATCCAATTCCCCCAATAATGAGACGACACTTCATTTTGAGGTTCAAGCAGAATCAGCCAGAGCTGTGGGTTTATTGTTCTTATATACACATTCTTAAACATTAGTACCACCCACAGGATTTTGTAAAGCAACCAATAAACACGTACAATACACTCAGACACTCCCACACAAAATCCTCTGCCTGTAATACAATTACCTTACACAATGGGTTAATGTAATTATCACAGGCAGGAAAATACACAGTTTTACACAATTTTCATAACTTTAAAACTTACATTTTCAGAATCAGCATACTCCAAATACAAACAAACATACGTCAAAATCATACAAATTGGTCCAGTGGGTCAAAAGTTAGATCAAAGTCCTTTGTGACCAAATGAAGCATGGCTTTTTTGACCAAAACCGGTTCCACAGAGTCTTCGATCCTGGAGATCAATGGGAAGTAATCCAACTTTTTCCAAGGACAGAGGCAAAACTCCATTAACCACATGTTAGCAAAAGACAATAAAATACATAAATATATATAACTGTGCATCTATTGCATAAAACAGGTACATTCAACATATCCCCAGATAGCTTAGATCTGAGCGCACATTACTGAATGGCGCTCAGATCACATACATACAGTTCAATTGCCATGGAGCAAAAGTCTTTCACATAGTCTTTCGTTATACATGGCATAGCTATCTGGGGTATCACTGTTCAAATAGGGAAAGTACCAAATGACCCGGCTTTCGTGTCTTTGCAGGGGAAAATCAAGCGTTTCAACATGGGACCATAGTCGAGAGGGAGCAGGCGAGCAACCAGGCTCCTCCAATGCCCAGTGGTGAGGTTGGTACCGTCACTCCACCCTTCTGTTAACATACCTTTTATGTGCAGGAGGGGACTTGCCTGGAGTTGTGCCGCTAGTTGAGGCTGATGGGAGAGTCAGGCTGGCTAGAGCAGCTCTCTCCTTGCCCTACCCCATGCTGCTTGTGCCTCATCTCTTTTCCTCCTGCTGACACCCTGTGTATTTCCGCCGCTGATCTTATTTACATATGCAGATTTCTATAAACATTTATTGTAGTTTAAAATACAGATTACTGTGAATATTATAGCTGTGGAGCTCGGTTATACTCTCAGACACACCAACATTATGGAGCTACTAGAAAAGAGGTACATTAGGATAGAAAAGGGGAACAGAGAATCTGGGGACAAATAGCGACAGTCCCTTCTAAACAGGAACAGGTGGGGATACGGATGTGACAGGCTCCCAAAATTACCACTGCTATAAGGCTAACTTTTGACCACACCTTCCATGACATCTTCCCATTACTGTGTACCAAATTCTCAACCAAAAGAAAGTCCCTTACAGCTGGAAAAAAATAAAATAAACATTTAAAAACAGGCTTGGTTCAGTATGTCATAAATATAGATACGGTTAGATGATGCTCATTAAGAACTGAAGCACGTTATTCTTAGAGCATTGCGGATCTGTAAATTTCATGGAACCTTAAAAAGTAGTATTTCTTTCATCTACACTTAAGCGTTTATTAATCTGTATGCTTAGTCATTACCTTAAATAGCAGATCTTGCTTAAACCCTTTAATATTTTCTTGCATCTTCAAAGTAGTCAAGTTTTTGACTGAAGATATGCCTATTAAGTAAAATACAGGAGTTCCATAAAAGCTGTATTAAAAGGAGATAATAAATAAGGGTCGAGTGAGCTATCTTGGCAACTTTATCCCAAAGTCTGACTTTTTGTGTTACAAGGTGTGTATGTTGCTGTATTCGGCTTGTGTTATTTATTGCAGCTGCAGTTGCTTTGTAGCGTTGTACTTGTGTGTATGTGGGCTGTTATATTGTAAATGTTGATTAGTAGTTTGTGGTATTGTGTATGATACCTATGAATGCGGGCTGTGTATAGCGGCTGCTTGAGGAACTGTGTGGGGATGATATGTCACATTGTGTGCGTGTGTGAATGTGTAGGACAGCTTGCATAGCCTACTGCATTAGGGTGTGCACCCTAAAGCACAAACACAAGCCGTGTGTGTGTGTGTGTGTGTGTGTGTGTGTGTATATATATACACATACATATATACACACACACACATACACTGCTGCTTGTGTGTGTGTGCTGTTAGTGCGCTGTGTAAAGGTGCTGTGTGTGTGATGAGTGTGAGAGGGTGCTGGTAGTGTGCTATGTGGGTGAGGGTGCTGTTAGTGTGCTGTGTGTGAGGGTGTTTGTGTATGTGTGTTAGTGTGCTGTGTGAGAGTGCTGTGTGTGTGTGTGTGTCGTGTATTTGTGAGGGTACTGTTAGTGTGCTGTGTGTGCAGTTTGTGTGAGGGTGCTGTTAGTGTGCGTTTGTGAGGGTGCTGTTAGCGTGCTGTGTGTGAGGGTGCAGTTTGTGTGCTGTGTGTGAGGGTGCAGTTTGTGTATGCAGTGGCGTACACAAGTTTCATGGGGCCCCGATGCAGAGAGGACACAGCTCCCTCGCCGCTTGTGATATGGAGATAGGAGCCCGACGGGGGAGGGGGGGTGTCCATCACCTCTTGCTCCCCCCCATGACAGGGGGAACAGGGGGGAGGAGGAGGGCATTTGGGGGCGGCAGAGAGCCTGCAGGAACAGCAGGAACGGCATTCCCACGCGTTCCTGCAGGACTCACAGGCGTGCCGTGGGGATTACTGTGGATTGGTGCACACGCCTATGACTGCTTGTGGTATTGTATATGGTACTTCATGTGAGGCTGCGTTTATGTGAAATGTCTCGGGATGATGTGTGTGTTTTTGTATTGTCTGTATTATTTGTATGGCGGAGGCTTATTCTGCAGCTCTGTGTATATCTAGCAGTGTGGGTGGCTTCCCTGGGGTCCACGCTGACCAGATACAGGTCAAGGACTGGAGCTGCGATAGCTGCTATGGGCTGCTCTACTCCAATGAGGATTTCCATTCTAAAGTGCTAGAAGGAAGCGATCAGAGATCACTTCCTCTAAGTGCTGCAATGCATAAATTGAGGATTGTCCCTCACTACCTTTTGCACTAGCACATATCTGAAGTTCCACTGAGACTCCTGGTAGGCCAGAGCCTGTTTGGCTCTAGCATTTTTAAGTGCCATACAAAGGTACATTGACTGCCATATGTAGATGACACCTGCCCTACATGTATACAAAACACAATGTTAAATGTATAATTTCTACAAGTGCAACTAAAGAAAACAAACGGAAAATAGACTGCATAGACATTAATTGACGCTAAATAGTCCTGAATGTTAAAATGCCCAGTATGTCTAGGATTTTAATACATTTTTAGAAGTGATAGAACAAAAATTGCATAATGAGTGAATTTTGGTTTTAATGCTAAAACGTTGCAAAATTTGGTATGCTCAAATGGGAGTTACAGAATCCAAAACCATTACATAAAAGTATATATTTGTAGAAAGTACATCCCCAATTACCAAGAGCATTTTGAAACGTCATTTAACAATTTTATCACAAACCTCAGTCAAAATATTTTTGGGTGGTTTATCATATATAAGTTTTATTTTTGAGGAAATTCCCAGTATTTCTATTCTGCTACTTTTGTCCTGCCCCTAAACCAAGCCCCCACCCAAGTTGCGGTCCCAGCATGAAAGATAATGATACCCGAGGTCCCTGGGTACCAGCAGGGATTTAAGCTACCTGGTACTTTTAATCCATGATGGTCTATGTCATCAACAGTTGTTAAAAGGTTTAAGGACAGTGAAATTTTCACTTGAACAGTTCTGATAAAGCATTCTTATTCCGAATGCTTCATGAAATATTCATAAATGTTCACAGTAAACCTCAGGCCTGAGTGGACAATTTAAGGGGTACTACTTCAGGAGTTTACGCTTTAGGTAATGGCACAGCTAGTATTTTTAGCCCATGCATTGAAAATTAAAATAACATCCCGTCCACACAGCAGCTAACTGTGGTGTTCATTCATCTTCACATTTCCCTGAGGATGGCTTAGATCCTCTGCAGACTAAACAATCCTTAGGTCATGGCAGGAGTGGAAAATGCGAGTGCGGCTAGCATTCTCCCAGATATAAAGGTTAGGCCAACTGGGAAAGAAAATGTAAGGTGGAATCTGTGAGAATGTGGTAATAAAGCCAGTGAAACCATTTTCAGCATACATAACATGGTTCCTCATGTCTTGCCATTTAGTATTTAGAAGTGTTTTGCACTGAAATTTTTGTTTAGAATATTAACAGTACTTTCTTCTCTTGATTTATTTTTAAAATGTTTTATACTTTTCATTTTTTTGGGGGGGCTTGTGGCTCTTGTTTTCTGTGCGCAGGTGGTCTTAATAGATAGATTTTAATTGGTAATAAGAGTTAATGGAACACTCCAGGCACCAGAACCACTACATCGTGGTCCAGTGGTTATGGTGCCAGGAGTGCCCTCAAAGTGCAAGTACTCAGTTTTAGAACGGTTTGACTTCTTTCCTGTGGTCTGCCAGGCACTTTCCTCTGCATCTATTGTACCAAAAAGATCTAAGCCCAGCAGTGCCGGTATTACTTAGTTGCCTCTTCGAGCTTAGTACAGTAGATGTAACGGAAGTTACTAGCAAGAGCTACTGGCTATCCTAGAGGCTGCAGAGAGGAATTTAGATGCTCTCAATAGTCCCTAAGCAAAGACAAATTGTAAACAAATTGTTTGACCAGTTACCTGGTAGGCATGGGAAGATGCTAGGGCAGTGTTCTGTAGTGGAGCAGTGTTATTACTGGGGCAAGAGTCCTCTTACAATGCTTACAGGGTTGTAGCCGTTATCCTTTTGGCAATAGATACATTAGGTACATTTATTTTCTTGTTCCGACATTTTCAAAATTAATGATTGCTTTATAGCAGATGTGAGCAATATTTGGGGTTAATGGCCCATAAAATATGTTTATACTAATTAAAAGTGCATGCCTTTTTATTGTACAGCATGCCTAAAACATGAGTGATGATGTTCAAGATTAGCAAACTGTGCTATAATCACCGGTAATATATCGCAACACAAAATAAATGAGGTGTATCATTTGAAGTTAAGGGATCTAACCCTGCTTTTAATGCCCTACCAGCTGCTATGAAGTAGTACAAAGCTTTGAGAATGTTGGAAATTGTGGTTACAATTTAGGCCAATACAGTCAGATAGAAAAAAAGTACTCTGAGTCAACTATGTTTTACGTTGGGATATTTTGGCCCTAAAACTTTTAAATTCACAGTGTAACTCTGTTGAGGTGTGAGTGTCAAACACAAACCTTACTCAGCAAGCCTGTCTGGGTCAAGTCATGTTGGTTTTCCATTGCCTGTATACAACAATACATTTTAATTTGGAAAGAGAATATTTTTGACATTGCATTGCTAGCAATTCGGTTTATCTGTGCCACATAAGTGTCAGAGAGGGATGATGCTGCCCGTATTAGAATTATTTATTCCCATTCACTTTGTGAGCTGTAACGTCTGCTGTAGGATCTGTGTCTTCAAAATAAATTACAATAAAAAAATTAATTAAAAAAATACGAGGGCCTCTCTTGTTTAAATTTGTCAAAAGGAACAAATAAATTATTCCAAAGAGATTGCATGACCATAAGACTTTGACATATGAGAATGCGGTTAGGTGTTGAACAATTACATTTGTTCCATGAGCTCTGCTAAACAAGGATTTAAACCCATACTAAACAAGTTAGTACAGACAGCTGGTGTAGTTACCATTCTACAACCCATTTGGCTCAAAAAAAAATAAAATATTGGTCAAATTGAAAATAAATAAGTCAAATAAAATTGGTAGACTGTTGAATCGTCTTGGACTATTGACCTGCAAGCATTGGTCTCCATCCTCACTTTATCTTTAACATATAAAAACAAGCTAATGAGCAGCTGCTGGAGCATCATTAAACAATTTAGCCATGTTGTTGGAAGTATACACTGGGTATGGCCTACCTTTTAAAGTGTTTAATTGCAGTATCATATGTTAAGTAACAATTAAGTAATTTATTAATTATGGCCATTCTGGCACCCCTTCACTTTCTTTTGGTTCTTTAGGATAAAAAGGGACCCAGAAAAAGTGGCATCAATTCCACAACAGTCACAAAAAAAGAACATTGAATGAAAAAAAGGATCTGTACTAAATAGGGTCATAAAGAAGTCTATAATGTGAGCTGGGAACCTATATTTTAATAAGGTTTATGACGAATTCAGGTTACTTTTGTCCTCACAAGAAATGCCTTCAGAGGTCTAAGCCAAGGAAGCTCAACCAAGAAGAGAAAGATGAATAGCATTTGCCAAGCTATTAAAAATGACCATGATTGGATGACCCCAGAGAAAGATTTATTAGAGGTAGTGTAAATACGCAGAAAGTTCAGTTTGCCCTCATTTAATGTTATGTATTCTGTAGATTGTGAATCTTAGAAGCAAGTCATTTTTTTGGCAGGCTTCTGAAGTATTTAACTAGACACACTTCAAAATCAATTCTGTAACATTTTCTAGAACTCTTGACAATGTAATTTAATCGTGAAAAAACAAAAACAAAGTTCGGTCCCATCATGCAAACATCATGTTCTACTTTATGTGTACAACAATGTCTGCTCTACACTGAAAAACTCCTTCTCGAAACTGGCTTAAGGTGGACAGCAATAGCACCGGCAACATATATACCCAAGGCAAAACCAGACGGATTTTACTGAACTATCACTGTATAATTTGCAAAGTGTGGCATATGCATGAATTCTGACATTTCATTTTTTTATGTTTGATTTTTTTTTAAAGGGGAATGAGCACTTCTCTGGAATTTGCTTGAGGGACTGAAACATTGAAAGTTGTGTTAATCTTTTTATCCCAAAGTGAAGCTCTGATTTTTCTTTAAATAGTCAATTTAAATGGTCCTTTTTTTCCTTTAATAGTTTCAAAAAAAATTTTTAACTGCATTTCAGTTTTTTCCTTTAGAAAACATACCATACTTAAATAAAATAAACCTCCTTATGCTACACAACACACAGTATCCTTGTGTTCAATTTATGGCATGGCACTCATTTAAGGTTCAGAAAAGCATTGAAGTCTTCGGATTAAGGAATGTTCTCGGGTATAAAAGTCTGGTTCATCAAATATCACTGTGCCA